CCATCTTGACCAGGCTGATTTGGAACTCCTGACCCTCATGATCCACCCGCCTCAGCCTTCCAAAGTGTGGGGATTACAGGCGTGAGCCACCATACCCAGCTGGTTTACCTTTTTGTTAAATTGAAGAGCTGCTTAATTAAATGTTCTGCCTAGTTTCATTGATGTCCTTAAAAATAGCATAATTTTGTGTTTGTATTCAGTGCTTCAGTTTCACTGTTGAATAAATTGTTTGTCTTTATATTGACAAACAAGTCTGAATTTGATTTGTCTCCTAAAAAGGTATCTTTGTCCATTGTTACCCCTTCAATACGTTTTGCCTTTTGGTTTTAGACTTAATGTCTGTGTGTTTCAATGTTGAGAATGCTCAATCCTCCAAATAGTTGCTGCAGTAACACATAATTGCTTTGAAGTTATCAGTCAATGTTAGACTTTCCAAACCTGTGCAGGAATCCTTTATTCAAATGAGAGTGAATGAAACATGCTGCCCCTAATGCATGGAATCGTGTAGTGAAATCCTGGCTAGTGTGAGTTTAATAGCAAAATTGATAGAGAACTCTTAAGACGGTATAGTACAATTTTCACTGAAACAGAGACAAATAGTAGGGGAAAATGGGAAGTCAAAAAGGGATTTTTTTGTTGTTGAGAAATAACATTTATAGGCTGAAATTTAATCGAGGATAACAGGTGATGGCAGGAAAGTGACTACTGGAACTATTTTCTTCTTCAGAGAGGATGGGATTTTGCCCACATGTGAAAATGTTCTCCTTTTGTTAGGAATCTGATGTTTTCATGTGTAAGAGATAGGAATACATGGGCACACACCTATTAATGGAAAGGCGTGGAAGCCTTTGGTTGCTTCGTTGAGTCAAAAGAAGTAAAGTTTGAAAAGTTTGGGACAAAGGTGTGAACCCTCTAGAAGAGAAAATAGAGATGGTAGATTTATAAATAATAGGATAATAATCAAAAATTAGAAGTGAGTTGACCCAGCTTGGCTCTGTTTTTCTAGCCATTTGAGCATCAGGCTCAGGTTCAACAGAGTTGGATTTGTCTGGCATTGGTTTATCCAAATGAAGACACTGGGGTAGGGATTAGTCATACGATTAATATTGGACTTTATACTTGGATAAAGTGGAGAAAAGGGAAAGTGAGGAGTTTTTATTTTTATTTATTTATTTATTTATTTATTGGTAGAGATGGAGTTGTACTGTTATTCAAGCAGTCTTGAACTCCTGGCCTCAAGTGATCCCCCAAAGTGCTAGGATTACAGGTGTGAGCCATTGTGCCAGACGTGGGAGTGAGACGAATAGGTGATGGGATCACTGTATTACAGGTCCTAGATTAAGAATGACAAAACAACAAGGAATTAACTAGGAAAAATAGGAAGGTAGCTCACTGGAAAGTTGTGTGGTATAATTGAGAAAACCCAAGTAGAAAACAACTGATCTGGGAGGTCAGTCTTAAAGCCCAGGTTATTAGAAACTGTTACCCTTGGACCTTAATAACTGCAATAAGAAAAAGATGGTAAATGGAACAGAATCCAGAATAAAAGGAGAAACCTACAGTTTTTAGAAACTGGGAGAATCAATTTAGAAGCCACAATAAGAGGTTAGAACAGAAGTCACCACTTGAGGGTTGCAAAGGAAAGTCAAAGCAATTTTGTTGAAAATTCATTATGAGTTCCAAAAGATGTGGCGAAAGGGTTTTACAATGTGCAAATATGAATTACATCCCATGATGACTGATAGATACAAAAGGCCTGGGGCTTTCTGGAGTGCTGAGAGTATGGGTGGAGGAAAGGCCAGGAATCCATCTTGTTTCAGGCATTTCTGAGCACGGTGGGGGGTGGGGGGGGAGAAAATCCCAAAATTTAGTATCTTTCTCTTGGTGATTAAAAGACTCAAGCCTGTAATCCCAGCACTTTGGGAGGCCAAGGAGGGGAGGATAGCTTGAGCTCCAGAATTCAAGACCAGCCTGAGCAACATAAACATAGCAAGACCTCATCTGTAGTAAAAACCAGCCGTTGATGAGGTGTGGGGGGCTTGTCTACACTCCGGGCTACTCAAGTAGGAAGATCGCTTGAGCCTGGGCAACAAAGCAAGACTCTCAAAAAAAAAAAAATTCTTTAGCTCTGGTGCTGTGGTTCATGCCTGTTCAAGACCAACCTGGGCAATGTAGCAAGACCCTATCTCTACCCCACCTGCCGCCCTCCCCTCCCCCCCCAAAAAAGCTGGGCATGGTGGCCTGAGTCTCTACATCCCAACTATCAGAAGGCTGAGGTTGAAATATTTGAATCCAAGAGCCTGATCATGCCGTTGGACTCCAACCTGAGTGACAAAGTGAATTACCATAGGACCGCTTTAAAAAAAAAAAAAAACTGAAAAGGCTTCAATTTCAGGACACTGAGGATAATACATTGTTGGAATGTACTACCTCAGCTTTATTTTGTAAAAAAGTGTACAACTCCGAGGCTTTTTGTATATTCACAAAGTTGAACAGCTGCAAGCACTAATCCCAGAATATTTTCATCACTCCAAGAAAACCTGTATCCATTAGCAGTCACTCCTGATTCCACTTTGCCCCAGCCCCTGGCCACTGTTTATCTTTTTAAACTTTCTTATTCTGGACATTTCATATAAATGTAATGAATCATACATTATGTAGCTTTTTGTGTCTGGCTTTCATTTTTAGCACATATATTCGTGGCTTTTCCTGTCCTAGCATAGACCAGTGCTTGATTCCTTTTTATGGCCAAATCACACTCCTTTGTATTGTGTGCCATGTTTTGTTTATGCCTTAACTCCATGGATATTTGTACTTAAACTTTTTGGCTATTGTGAATATTCATGTAATGCCTGTACAGTTATGTGGATAAGCTCTTGGGTTTATAGACCTAGGAATGGAATTGTTGGGTCCTTTGCTAGCTCTGTTTACCCTTTTGAGAAGCTGCCAAACTGTTTTCCACAGCTCACTGCACCATTTTACATTCCCACTAGCAATGTATGAGGGCTCCAGTTTTCCCACATCCTCACCAATACTAGTTATTTTCTGTCTTATGTATATAACCATTTTAGTGGGAGTGAAATGGTATTTCATTGTGATTTTAGCTTGCATTTCTCCAATGACAAATGGTTGCTGTATACTGTTACTTTTATGAAGGGGAAATGTTTGGTTTTGAACATGCTGGGTTTTGAACACATGCCTTTTTAGCAATTGTTCATCTGTAAAGGTTATACTGTTTACAGATTTGGTTACCACTTAGCCCATTTTGATCTTTTAGAATGACAGCAAAATGTTGATGGCATTTGCTTACTGTTAGCTTATTTCAGGATTCATTTTGTAATGC